CAATCTGACTGGATGATCTGGTTGATGTGGATCTATAAAGTGACCTGAGATGACATGATGTGAATTGGAGCTATAGAAATAAACTGAATAGAATTGAACAAGGGAGACAAACTTTTACGAGATGCTGAGTATGAAAAAGTGGCCCATTGTTTTATTTTAATCGTTAATTGTTCCTGCTGTTGGAAATACTAACCAAATAAACAAAGATATATTTTCCTACCATTTGTGTTCATGAGGGTCAGAGAAGTTCTGCTCCTCCTCCATCCAACGGGCCAATCAGGAGACCTGGAGGATTTTATCAGAGTTTCTCTAAGGGCGGCATGCACTGTGGGGTGGAGCTGTAGATGTTTCACACATAGAACCCATGAGGAGATCCGTCCCACCAATCAGACTCCATCAGTCTTTGGTCCAACCTTAAGCAGGAAGTCAGAACCTGTAGTTTTACTCAGAGGCCAGAACCAGCAGGAACCTCCTCTCTGGACCTCCTTCTGCCTGCTCCTTCAGACCTGTGCTCTCTGTGGGTTCTGCTGATTTTGTTCCTGCTGTTGGATGTTAGTAGACCTGGAACTGATGCTGAAGGTCCTCAGATCCTAACTGGTCCTAACTGCTGGATGATCATAGATCTGTAACATGTAGAATAGAAAGGCATGATAGAGCTTTGATCACTGCTGCTGATCCAAATACTAGATCAGGTTTTTATTAAAGTCCCAGACCTCAGCGGCACACAGAGGGTCTAGAACTGGCTCAGTCCGGTCCTGATCCGCTCCATCCCTGTCAGCCTGGCTCCGCCTCCAGGAAGAACCTTCTAGTCCACAGCCTGGTCTGATTTTCTGACAGCAAGAAGAGCAGAGATTAGAACCAGCAACCTTTCCTTCAGATCTGCTGTTTACTGGGAACCAGAGGAGAACATTAAGGAGGTCATTAGCTTACACCTCGGTTCTCTGTTTGATCCCTTTGCTGCAGGAAGCAGGCTGTCACCACGCCGCTCCGGGGCTCGGCAGCCATGTTTTAATTGGTTAGGTCTCTAATTTCCATAGAAACACCGACAGGATCCTTCAAAACATTTCTAAACTGTAAAACACTCTTAATCCCATTAATCCTCGGCTTAATGTCACGATAACAACGGCAGTCAAAGCAAACCAGCTTCCAGCTCAGAGGATTCCAGCTGGAGAAAAGAAGTTCAGAGGCTCCACCTCCTCCACCTCCTCCAGCTGCTCCACCTCCTCCAGCTGCTCCACCTCCTCCACCTCCTCCACCTCCCCCACCTCCTCCACCTCCTCCAGCTGCAGGGAGCTGCTGGCAGGTAAACAGGAAGATGGAGCTGGATCCAATCCTCTTAATCGGGACCACGATGACCTTTAGTTTGTAGGAATTCCTGCTAACCGTCTGCAGCCTGAGGAGAGGCAGGCGGCGCTTGGCGTGAGCGGCTGCCATTTTTTAAGCTGCACAGAGAAAAAAAAAGTTGCAACGTTTCATTATTCATGGAGCTACAGACGTGGAGCATTACTTATACATTAGAACCGGGTCGTTTTTAGCTCAGAATGGTCCATTATTTAAAGAGACAAGTGCAGAGAGGCAGAGTCATGTTTTAAACATCACTGCAGCCAGATTCTTTTATCAGCTCGAAGTTTTTCATTTCTGGGAGGAACCGAGCTGAAGCTCTGCAGGACATCCAGTCCCTTTAAAATGACCCGAACGGTTCTGGACACAAACGCTGGGATCCACTGGGCTGGTCTCTGCTAAACGTCCTGATGAAGCAGAAATGAACTGAACCAACGTTCCTAAGGTTAAACATCAGCAGAGGAACCAGAACCAGAACTTTATGGAATCACTGGACCCATCAGCAGGAGGTGTGTTCCAGAACCTGGCCGATCTCTGGATCAGCACCAACAGGGGACAAAGACACAATGGACACCATAGACCCAGAGACAATATAGACAAAGAGACACTATAGACCAAGGGACACTATAGACCCAGA